GCAGAAGAAAACATGGCTTTGTCTTCTAGAGGAACAGCACATCATGTATCCAATAACTTTGTTGGAAAATCAAAGCGACTGAGGATGGTCCCGTTAAATGCTGGCCTGCTTCGTGTGTCTGGCCAGCAAGACAAATCCCTGAGAGTCAGTGTTTCTCAAAGCTCATGATGTTACCGAATTAAGCTCCAGCTTCTCATTATATGCTCTCCAATGTTGGCACAACCTTCTCTCTCTCTCTCCGTTGCTCAGAGAAGAACACGGATGCTTGTTTGGAACATTTGTTAAATGAATCGCTTAATTCTCTTAAGCACAATTAACCCTGATCTTCTATACTGAACTTTCTGATTAGTCTCAACTCCTCACATTCAAAGCCTACCCTATCACTCAGTAGGCTAACGGATCAGCCGTGACATGATGGAAAGAACTTTTTTTTTTTGTTTGTGTGGGTTGAGATTGAAGGAGTTACATGAGAGTAGGCGTATAAGTGGAGACAAATATCCAGAGCATCAGCAGTAGGTGGGAGTGTTCATGCAAGGTCTCGGGTGTACATAACACTCTTGTTTTCACAAGTAATTTCAGACTGAAATGGCCACCTGAGCTCTCTGTTATGCCCTGCTGATTAAACGGCTGCTCAGAAGCTGGGGTGAATTCTAACGGTGAGTGGGCAGCGGTCATAAAATTAAACGATAAAGAAACCGAAAATCTAGACTCAGTGCTTTTGGCCGGACCTCTGAGAAGGAGAAGGGCTTAAAATGGCTTGAAGCTCTGGGTAAAAGCATAGAAAATAATCAACCGGAGTCTGTTTCACATCTTCGATCATTTTTCTTTCTTTTTTCTTTTTTTTTACCCTCTTTGGTCTGTCAGACTCCAAGTTGTGATGGATTTTTTTTTTCTCGACGATTGGCACGAGCTGAAAAAAGTTAAGCCTGTTTTCCTGTCCTCTCTGCCTGTGAGGTAAAGATCCTCTGTGGAACACGTGATCCTTTTTGTTTACACTGCTCCCACTCCCTTTGTACGCGGCCTCCGCATTTTAAGGCCGCTGTGGAGCGGTCGAACGAGAGGACGGGGAAGGTTGTGGCGTTGCCACGGGGAAGGCCATGATCCACTCCTGCCAGAGTGGCTTATGCAACAGCCATTACCATAGAGAGCAAAAGGGAACGTTTCAGGTTGATGCTTAAAAGTGTGAGCGGAGCGCTGTGCGCTGCACGTGGGAGGATGATGATGATGATGATGATGATGGCTGCCTGCATACCCCTCTCAGATGTGTCTAACTGTTGTTTGTTTGTCAGGACCTGTTAGATGTTACGTAAAGGTGTTGTGTTATGTAAAACTATAAAGCAAAGAAAAACAAACGGCCCACGTTTGAAATTTCGGACGGTAATGGCATCTTCAACTGATGGTTCCACTGCATTCTGTGGGTAATGAATGATCGACTGCTTAAATAGCAACTGGAAGATTAGTATTCCAAAAGACCCCAGCTTGCCATCGGACACTGATTGTTAATGATTAGTTAAGTCAGGATAATATAAAGTTTGCTATCACATTTGATTATAACAAAACTTTAAGTTTGTTTCTTACTGTTTTGGTGTTATGCTGAGGCCAAATGGAACCTTATTGTTAAAGATCACCTGTTGGCTACTAGCAATACTGCACACTGTCAAACTGATTGTGATTTGTATTGAGGTGATGCTACCTGCTGTTGAAAAGGGAAAAAGAAAATAAAACTAAAACAACTTTCATGACTCATCCAGGCATTTGACTCTCCAGCCAATGAGCGTGGGGCAATCCCCCCAGCCCATTGGGCACCAATGAAAAATGAAAAGCCAGTACAGTGGAGTATGGGCTAGTGGAAAGCATCCAAACTGACCTCGGACACGCAATGCCACCAGCTTTGATTTACATGCAGTCTAAATGCTCAATAAGTTATTAAAGTACTTTGAAGTGACGGTTTGTTTGTTTATAACAAAGAAATACAGTTTGCCATCAGACTTATTGTTAATTTTTTGTTTTTGTCTCCTCCCCCCCCAGACATACATTGGCAGCGTGGTGATCTCCCTGAACCCTTACAGGTCCCTGCCCATCTACACGCCAGACAAAGTGGAGGAGTATCGAAACAGGAACTTCTATGAACTTAGTCCCCACATGTGAGTTCACCTCTCCTCTCCGAAACGGTTACGTGACACGCCCCGCTTATGACGTCGGTACTTTTTAGAGTGGGATGGGGTGTGGATTTTAGATTAATCTTCTGTCATGTGAATTTGAGGCTTTCCCCCCCTCTGGGGTGTTCTTAAAAGCTTTGTTCTTTGGATGCGATTGAACTGCTCTGTCCATTGAAGATGCAGTTTATTAAAAACCTCTGGGAGGATTTGACTTGGTGACTTGTGCAAAAAAAGGTGTTTTGGGGGTGGGGGGGTGGGGGCTGAGTTTGGAGGGATACCATCTCTTGTGCAGAATCACTGAGGCGCTTCTGCTGACCACTCAATGCCGTGGCAAGCCATCTGTCCAAGGGCACTATTAAATCAGCAGTGTTGCGAGGCTGGCAAGACGAAACAAAGCCCCACACTCGTCAATTAGCCTGCTGCGGCTCCATGCTGCAGCACAACCCTCTGAGACAAAGGGCTGGATGAGCGAAGGCCCCCCCCTTGTCCCAGAACAGCCGTAATCCCTGCAGACAAAAGCAAAGTGCGTCGCTTTCCTTTTAGCCGTCTCCACTTTGACACAGTTTCACTTTGAAGCAGTGTGTTTTCCATTCGAGCTTCTAGTATTCTGCATCTAGGGTACAAACTGATTAATAGAAATGTTTTGTTTAACGTCCGTGTTGGCATTTAGGTTGTCATTAAAACACACTTAAGTATGCGGTCTACACTGACTTGTCTGTGCTTCATCATTGTTAAGATGACATACTAATGGTAAACTGTCAGGGTGATCGGTTTGGACTGATAATTGAACATTGAGGGAGGAACAAGCAACTTTTCAGGGTTGGAGAAATGCTCGGAAGGAAAAAAATAAAATGCTTTTTCGCAGAAAATGGTTGTTTTCACCGCAGGTCTCTGCTCCCATTTACATTACCAAAAAGTAATTTAGTTAGAAATGGAAGGTTAAATAGTTTTTATCAGAGCGTTTGCAAGATAATTTTCATACCATGGTGGGATCACTTTAAAGCATGCTCCTCTAATAATAATAATGATGTAACAAATTCAAATTGACAAACAAATTGAAGAGCAGAGATGCATGAATAAACCTAAAAAGGGCTTTTGTAATTGAATAACTACTCTCTTTTGGTAACATTTTAACTTTTTTTTCAGTTTTTTTTTTTTTTTTTTACCAATCACTGGTTGGTGTGGTCAGCATGACATCTTGGAAAACAAGTTTCAATCAATCAGACCCCCTCCCCCACACGGGTAGATCAAAACTAAAAGCATCATCTTAACTGGTAATGCTTAAAACGGTTTTAACATCGCCTTCTGATTAGTCTTACATTAAAGATTTACCCCCCCCATTTTGTTATAGTGGGATGCCATTCACAGGCAGATTGTTTTATAATGCAACATAAAATGATCTTAATCCTGCGGCCAGACCATCTGGAGCAAGCTTTGCGGCTTTGCGTTGACCATTCAGAAGTCTGAGATCTTCAGTGGCCAAATGCAATAAATCGGTTATTAGAAACAATTTTGTTTTCTAGTTGCCTTTAAGATTCAAGTGCAAGGGCCAACCAAGAATATTCGTATTTCAGTGGCTCATATTGGAAAAATGAAAGTCCTATGGCTCTTTGGAAGTGAGAATCAGTCTGTTTCTGTGATAGCTTTCCTTTATACTACATCTTGAATATAGGAAGAAGCCTCTGCCCTGCAAATATTTTGCAGAACTTTTTCCATCCATACACACATTTCTCACAGCTGAAAACAAAACTTTTTTTTTCTTTTTTTTTGCATTACCAACTTGAAGCTTAAAGCCTGCAGAATAGCTGTGGTTTGGAGACTAATTTGAACAAAATTTGAATAAATTTTACTCGACTATATTCAAAGCAGAGCAGCTAGTGTTTCACAAACGCAAAGCAAATGCTGTTAGTCACACCAGGGTACTGGCAAGAGGAGCGAGAATAGTTCATATTTAGAGCCTCGTCCGTACTGCACCTGCTAAAATCTGCTGGTGTTTGTCTCCCAGCGATTTCTAAAAGCCTGGGGGGAGCAATTTGAATGAGTTCAGTGTCCAGCCAGTCTTCAAATTATTCATAATGTTTCTAAATAAACCAACCCAATGGCTTTCGGGGCCCTCCCGGCATGCTGAGCATGCTTTGACTGTGTGAGGGCGGGGGGGGGAGTACATCACAGGTACTGTCTGTTCTGAGGTGGATCAGTTTTGGGGTTTTGCAACTCTTGCTACAGGATCTGTTAATATTTCTATTGTGCTGGTGGTCTTAAGAAAAACCTTTTTTTGTTTTTTCCAAGTACAAACTGATTAATGCATTCAAGTTGAGGAATACAACGCATTTTAATCAGAGCTGTTGGAGAGCATACAAATGAATTTCAATATTTTCAGCTCAATGGGACCTTTTTTATTTTTTTTCGGGGGGAAAATGTGTAACTGATCAGGATGGATGTTTTTGCCTGCTTGTGTGTGTATGCGTGTCATGATTGCAATGTGTATAATGGTATGACTTTATCCCTCACTTACTCATTTACTCAAGAGTAAAAATAAATGGATAATGGCCAACTAATAATGCCTTAACTCTTTCCCCATTCACTCAAATAAACCCAAGCATGTTTTCTATCTCCTCCTTTCTCCTCCAGACAGACCATTTGTCATATGCGTGTTCCACATTTGTGAAGCCACTTCAGGACTAATTTCCAGTTCACTTGCATTTTAGTTGAAGTTGATGCAGACATATTTTTAGCTTAATCCCCAACAGTCGGTGTGCATGGGACCAGATTTACGACAACATGATCTAAACTCCTGAGGGAGGATGTTTTGAGGGAAACGTTTTAGTGTTTTTTCATGTTTCTCTTCTCTGTTTTCCTAACCGCCTGAATGTAAAAAAGCCATGAATTCATCGTTATCTTTTTGCGGGCTGTGCTGCCACACCCATCTCCCCCAATCTATGATTCCCTCTGCTGGCCGCAGTAGGACGAGGCTGTGTGCCCAGATGAGACCCCTCCAGAATTAACAGGCAGGTGTTTCCTCTTATATAAATGCAGGTGGCATTTTTAGAGAACTAATCAGAGGTCTCTCTCAATGGCCAGCATCACAGATGGTCGGCAGTCCTCTTTTGTATGTTGCTTGCCACCCAAGCCAGACACAGATTGAGTGTTGTGTGTGTGTGTGTGGGGACAGTGAGCCCCATTACTCTAGGGTAGTATTGTGTTTTACCAATGTGTAATGAGGTATTTAGACCCCGAATGCGCTCAGTCCTTAGTGCCGCCAGAGCATTGACTACAGAGAGATATCAGGAAAGACTAATGGTGCAAACAAATCCTGTTTAAAGTGCATGTCAAGGTTTCCAGCTGTCATTCATATCGTTATGACTGTAAAATGAGTCTGTGAGGAAGAAGGAAAAAAACTTTCCAATAACATTGTTTCTTGAGGAAAAGATAATTTTGCTAATGATAGACCGACAGGCCTATATTGGTTGGCAACTAAAGAGGTTTGCCATATCTCTAAAATGGCACACATGATTTTGGAAATCCTGAAGAGCTTAGTCATAACAAACGTCACATGAAGGAAACATAAACTATGTAACGTCCTTGGCAAAGAACATTAAAGCCCTGTTAGATATTGGCGACTGCTGCAGTTGATGAAAGATGACAACTTTTTTTTTTTTTTTTTCCACTGTGTCGGCAAAATGGACTTTGGAGTCATTTTCGGTATTACAGTATCACACCTCTGTTTGCTTTTCCTGTGTCATCAGCTGTAACAGAAAATGCTCTGTATTACACAGGGAATTTTCCACACTTTATCATTACCTTTCCTTTACCGTGCAAATTAAACTATTTAGATTGTAATAACCGTTGTGATGTCACCTTAGGTTTTGAGCTGGAGACATTCCCCACTAGTTTCAATTTGAACTGCTTTCATACACACTATAAAATATGCTTTTAAAAGCTCTAAAACCAATAAACTGTCTCCTCAACACTTAAAACTTGGGCAAGAAAAAGACCCAAAGTTCTACCCGTGTTGTCCAGAAATGCTGTGATTGAAGGACTGAGGATTTAATCACTTTTAAAGCTGGTCACAAGTGGTAAGTTTCAATGTTTTGCCCTCAGAAATGAACTTTGAAATGCCATAAAATTTAGACGTGGCTTTTAATAAAAGTATTATTGAAATTAACCTCAAAAGATCTGCACACCATGGACAAACCCGTGTCCGTGATGTGGCTGTGCATCGTGCAGTCTTTTTCTTCTGAGCCACTGCCACACGCACACCGTTTGTGTTATAAGAATGTTTTTGAAGAGGCCTTGAAGCTGCGTAGGTGGGTGTAGTGGGCTCTCGCTGAAGTGGCATTTTGACTCGTGTAGGCAGCTTCAGTCCTCCGCAGCGTGTGTTGGTGTAATGGCGAAAACTAGAGAGAGGTGATGGCAAAACACTCGTTCCTTTTCCCACCCACCTCCTCGACATAAAAATAAAATGCAAATGGCTTTCATTGGACATCGGCCTCTTGTAATCAAATGGTTGCTTGGCTGGTCGTTTTGGAAAACTCTGGAAAATGTATATACATTTAAACACATGTAAAATCAATTTCCAACGTTGTTTATCTGTGCAGCATAAGCAGTTTGCCCATATGTTGGTGGAGTTATTTGAAAAGTTAGGCACACGCTGGCATGAAAGTTTCACCAGGGCTGGACTTCACTTCCATCTTGGCAGCCGTTAACTTGAGTTTTGAGTTTGGATCTGAATGCAGCCTTGTCTCCAGGAGTCTGCAGCTCTGAGTCAGAAACCAAACTTCCATTTCTGCTGGTGTGTTGTTAATGCCATTTGCTTGGCTCTTATTTGAGCTCTCCAGTACCTCATGTGTTAACCACAGTGCCTCTGGATCAAGTTCTGCCTGTCACCTCTATTTGCACGTTGCATGTCACTGACATCAGACTCTGAAAACTTGGGAAAATGCCCTTATTTAAGCTGCAAGCTTGAAGTTTGCTGTTCAGAATTT